AAGTCTAAAAATAAAGTTTTGTACACTGCGCCGCCTTAATTGTCAAAAAATTGCAATTTTAAAATTTGTGTTCGGGTAATGCAATACTTTTGACCGCCACTGTATATACAGACCTGCTAAAAGTCTCTGAACACTATTTTTCAGAGGCTTTATACTAATTATATCATGTAACTATATAAAATTGTGACTATATAATGTTTTAGACATTGTTTACTTGAATTAAATCAAATAAATATGTGTTTGGTTTGTTTATTTTGATTTTAGATTAAAATAAAATTTTACCTTTTTAAATAATGAAAATGTCTAAAAAATTATTATAGAAAAACACAGTGACATAATTTTTTGCTATTAATACAGCAATAGTTATCGAAGTATTATTGTGACTATTGATTGTGGAAAGTCAACAGTTCTTGATATTTTAAAAAGAATGGATAATACCGAAACTGTTAATGTTATAAGGGTATAGAAACAAATTCTGATACAAACTATCAAAAATTTTGGTTAATAGTATGTCACAGTGAATTTGGGCTGTGATTAAAGCAAATGAAGGCTCAACCAGTACTAATTATTTAGTACTAGATGTATAGCATATTGTACTTTAATAAATATTTTAATAAATATTTTTTAATAAAATTTAAAAATTCCAAGTTTTATATTTAGCCAAAAAATGTTCAGAGACTTTTGGCAGGGTCTGTATATATATATAAAAATAATAATTACAATCTCTTTAACATAACATTGAAGATACATTGCGATAAGTTTTAGATGTCTTCCATTATCAATAAAGTATACATTATGATTTTTACATTTGTATTTTTCTCTTAGATCATAGATATATGTTCTTCTTATTATAAGATTTCAGAAAATCCTTCTAATTTTTAAAATTGAATATTTTTTTTATATGTTTTAACATTTTTATTTTCTAATTCTTCATAATTCGATACATTCTAAAATAAAAGCAAATAAAAATATTATTTATAATATAGCAAATAGTAATTTTTTAATTAAATAAAATTATTTTACCTTTCATTTTTTTTTTTTATAAACATAACAATGGTCATATTTTATTTCATATCCAGTAATTTTTTATAGTCTAATAAAAACTTTTGTAATCTTACATATCAACTAATTATGTTTTGATACCTATAGCTTTTTTTTAATTTAAATGTAATTATATAATCTGAATGAATGATTTCTTTATCACCAGTTAGTTTTATAATATGATAATGAATATCAGTAAGAATATCATCTAAAAATAATACTTCTTTTATTTCAATCTATTTAGATGATAATGCTGAATCTTTAATGGGTTTTATTATTAAATTGAATAATATAATTTATATCATTTCATCAGATACACAAATATTATCATTTTTCAAATTATCTTCACTTGAATCTATTACTAAAGGTTTTTCTAATGATAATTTCAAAGTATTAGTTGATGTTGAGTTAGATTTTAACTTTTGAAAGGCACTATTACAAGTAAAACATAAAAAGAAATTAAATGTTGTATTAAGGTTTAAGGAATAACCAAATTTGGTAACTTTTTTTTGAATAAATTTAAGACATTCAGATTATAAGTCAGATGATAAAACACAACCAAATGTGACTTTTACTTTATCATTTCAGTTTCCTTTATTTGGTTTAATATTTTTATTATAAGAACATGCTCTTTTTCATATACTAAGTTTAACCCACAGTAAAGGTACTTTTTACAATCAAAACAAGTACCAATAAGATATTAAGTTTTAGTATTAGAAGTTTTCATTGGGTTTGTCAACATAATTGAATTGAACATATTTTTTTTTAAAAAAAATATTTAGTAATTTTATTAAGAATGTATATTTATAATTAATATATCAATCATCTTCTTAATAATTATAATAGATAATCAAAATTTTACATATGTATGATTGTACTACATTATTTTAAAAATAGTGATAAATAAATATATATAAATTAAATTAATCAGATTATTTATAAAATATTTTTAAGTAATATATTTTTTTTATAATTATCTCTCTTAATATTATATATAATTATTTTTATTTATTATTTAAATAACTTTTTATTTATAGTCAACTCTTGTTATAACAAACTCTTGATATAACAAATTTTTTGAACAAATATAATAAAAATACTCTTATTATAGCGAATTGGCTAATCAAATCTCTTAAAATCTTCACTATAGCCTTATAGCGAAGTTGAGGTCTAAGATATAGAATTTGTTATAACAAGAGTTAACTGTAATTAATTAATAAAAATTAATAGTAAAAATTGATTAAGAAACTGAAAAATAAATTTGAAAATTAAAAAAAAAATTAGAAATATAAGAAAAATAAACTAATTAATAAACTAAAAAAAATGTAATCTTATCTTTAAGAATATTAATTCAGATCATAATTCTGGCCGAAATTATATTGTTTGTTATACAAAATTTTTTTCCAATCAAATCAAACCAAATCGACAAAAAAAAAAACGGGACTGTAAGTTTTTTTTTTTATAGCATAAAAGTTGTGGCTTATGTCACAAATATTAATTTTTAATATAAATTTTTAGCTTGGATCATCATTGTACATTTTTAACTTTCTTTTTCAAATGGCAGTATCAACTAACAACACGAGTTCAAAGACTCTAAAAATGTCAACATCAGGTAAATTTGCAAGACCAGCAACAACACCAAGGCCAACTTCTATTGCAGGAACAAGTAATTTGTTTGTTAAGACAAGGCCGAACACAGTTGTCCGTGCTGATCTCATTAAAAACAAGGCGACAACGAAGAGGACAGAATCCGTAAGTTCTGCCGGCAGAGCAAAGGACGACAAAGCTGGTAAGAAGCCAAATCAAACCTTCAAGACGAAGCTGGTCAATAAACACTGTACCTTTTATCACAAATATGGTAAGTACCTTTATTAATAAATCTCCTTATCTTAGTCTTTAGGAAAATTACATACATACATATATATATTTCTTTTACTTTTAGGTCGATGCAAAGAAGGCGACTTTTGCGCTTACAAGCATGATCCAAGTCGAGTTGAGGTCTGCAAATTGTGGCTCAAAGGAACCGAATGCACATTGAACAGCAAATGCCCACTCCAACACGTCGAATCTGCACACCTGATCCCGCACTGTCGACACTTTTGTAAAGGCATGTGCCTTAAAGATGATTGTCACTACACTCATGTGAAGGTTAGTAAGCGGGCACCACACTGCAAAGACTTCATGGTGGGTCGATATTGTCCGGCAGGAACAAGTTGTCGCAAGAAGCACGAGTGGGGTCTCTACGAAGAGACCGAAAGTGAAGCCGACAAGAAACGCGTTCGAGACTCTTTTGAAGAGGACGCTGAACGTGAAAAAATCAAGAAACTTCGTGAAGAAATGGCGAAAGGTGTAAACCCCTTTACGGCAGGATGGACATTTATTCCAATTGATGATGATGACTGAATGCCCTGCGTCCTTTTTTTTTTTTCTTATTTTATTTGCATTATCATTATCAAGTAGTAAAAATCAAGAGTTAATTACGAAAAATTTTTTGTACAAATTTGTAAATATTTTTGCAATAAAAAAGATCAATATTTAAAAAAAAAAAAAAAAAAAAAGATTATGATATATGACGAAAAATTTTCAAGTTTTGTAATGTTTTTCTGGTATATAAGTTAATATTTAAATAAGATTCGTATTAGGATTTAAGAGGTTAGAATAAATTAACATTTCATTCAATAATTAATAAATTTTCTTGCATTTGATAAGCTGATACTTTCAAATATAATTGATGTCAATCCAATTCAGGAATTAGAGTCAAATAATCAATAAAACAAAAATCATTTTATTTATTTATTTTTTATTTTTACAAATGATAGAAAAAGTGGCGAAAAAAAAAAAAAAAAAAAAAAAAAAAAAAACTTCTCGTTTTCCTTTCGTTTTTCACAATTTGTTTCTACGATATGATTCTGGTGAAGGTTGAACTTCTTTTGGTGGTCCTGCTATACCTTTTATGTATATAATGTACAGGGTGTAATTTATTTGGAGACGCCTGTGAGAAAGATATTTATTATATATAATGATTAAATAACAATATGAAAAGTGAATTTGAGAGAAATATCGAGTAAATTATGAATACGTACCAATAACACCACAAGCGAGACGATCACCTGCATTACCGGTCGTAAAAGAAAGTTCATGACCACCTTTACCAAGATCATCAACGTCAGCGTGGATAACCATGGTTCGTCTATAGACATTTATGATGCACATAAACAAAATTAGCTTTGTTTTTTTTTTTGAATAAGAACATAAAATAAAATAAACATTACCCAATTATAGTGTTAGGACCAAATAATTTAATTTGTTTATCAGTGATTACAGTCTGAACTTCACCGGCTTGATTAGCAGTAACATTACCTAAATCACCAACATGACGGTCTTCATCATTAGGAGCTCCATGTTTTTTGTTAAATGGATTAAAGTGAGGCCCGGCTGAGGTACATCCATTAGTATTATCACCAAATTCACTAAATTAAAGGTTTATTCGAGATGTGAATTAGCGCCCAAACATTTCAATGAAAAGGCCACAAAAAATTTAACAACACTTACTGAACGTGGAATCCATGTTTACCAGGTTTTAAACCTTTGATATTGATTTCAATTTTTGTAGGAGCATTTTCTTCTTGTTGTTCGAAAGTAATGATACCACCTACTTTAATTTCTGGGTTATTACCCTTAAGAACACAAACAGCTTTAACCATTATGAATATATATTTTTGCGATTTTATTAAATGAAATTTTTTTTTTTTTTTTTTTTTTTGCAGTTAAAGGAACTATCATCCATATATATATATATATATATATATATTTTCTTGATGAGATGAATACTCATTAAATCAATCGCAAAAATGGCGCACCACAAAGGTACTCATTTTCATTTTCATGGCGTAAAAAATTTTTTAGCTTTTAGTACAAGAAAAAGGTTAACATTATACGTAATAGCGATTTAAATCCTCATGATAAAATTAACCAACAAAAAACGCTCTGTAATCTTTATCATCTTAAAAATTTTTTTTTCCTTTTTTTGTTATAAGCAATATGAATCCGATATTTATTAGTCTAAATTTTTTTACTTATTTATTAATGGACTTACTTTTTATAATATTTATGATACCAAAAAAAAAAATACATTATTCCTAAATTTTATTATCTCTATTATATCTCTATAATATCTTTATTATAATCATATGGGATGAAATTTAGTAGATCTGTAACTGGTAATTTTTCCCATGTAAACCGCGGCAAAGGCATCGGGCCTTCATTTATAGACTGTCGGAGGATTTTTTGTTTCGAAAAAAATATAATTTAAAAGATCAAAAAGATATTGATAGTTAATGCAACGTAATCTTCATCTTTGATAACAGATGGTGGGACACAAGATAATCCTTATAATATAAGAAAGAAATTCCAATATGATGTCAAAAATTATCTTACTTGATACCCCATCGTTATTTTTTCTCTAATGCTCTCTTTCATTTAGATAATTTGGATGAAGTATCCATCTCCACTTCGAAATCTATGTTATGTCGCCAAGATTTTCGAGAATTTACATTTTACTCACCCTTTTAAAATCAAACTTTATAAGATGAACAAATACATCTCAGATATGAAAATAAGTTTGGTTTCAGACGGACCCACATCTAATTCAGTTACTTACAGGGATCCCCTTATTGGGACGTAACGCCACACCCATCATCGGCTCATGGAGTAAATTTATAGTGCCGGCCTGTTAAATTGATATCGCAGTTAATTATTAAATTGATTCAAACATATATATAAAGTCTTTTTATTTCATTTTTATTGGAGAAGACAAATACATCAGAAAAAAATAAATTATTGTTGTAGAACTTTAATTATTTCTTTATTTTATTTTTATGTAGCAATATTTTGACGCTTCCGACGTCCGAATTTTGCCCACCGATTTTAATTTTATCACATTTTGCCGATCAATTTGCCGATCATTTATTCATTTTTATCACATATAAAAATGCCGTAAAATCAACGTTAATTTACTCTGATCGGAAATCCTACATAATAATATATGTTAAATTTTTACAAGTAGCTGCATTTTAATATAATGAAATAATATATTAAATTTTATTGAAATATAATTATTATTGGGTAAGTTATACTAGAAGCAACATATTACCAAAATTAATATAATTATAATAACATGATTTATATTTGAAATATTCGAAAAGTTGTCTCAAAGCTAACTTTTGTATTGTTTAAAATTTTATTGTAATACTTTTATATTATTTTCTAACTTAAAATATGAAATATAAAGGTTGGCATAGTTCACCCTTGCATATGTTTTCCCAAACCTTTGAAGTCTAAAATAATTAATTTATTATGTAAATTACTTAATTAATTATTTCAATTGTAAGATAATTTAAAATGCTTGATCTTGATTTACTGTTTTAGAAGTATATTATACATAATCCAAAATATCAAATTTTTTAATTTGTAAAGTTCGCCCAATCATATGCTGTGTCGCCCGAAGCTTTGAATTTTGAATCAGCTGATTTTATATAATGTGATAATTCAATTATATATGATCAGTGTATTTTATTGATACTGTTATACTGGGATTTAATGCTTTAACAGTTATATTATTATCTATAAATGTACAATTTATTATTAATCTTCTACAAAACTTCTCAATACACCTTTTTTTTCATATATAATTTATAATGTAACTAAAGATGACGTTGCAATATTGTGACACTTATTTGTCACCTGTTGCAACTTAAATTTTAATAATGTTGCAATTTGTTGCAACATTGTAATGCTTATTTGTCACCTGTTGCAACTAATTGAAGCGCTATCTTTAAATGTAACATTCTTTAAAAGAAAAATTTTTTAGAATAAATAGTATTAACTCAGATAAAAGAAGATCAAGTAAATTAGTTGTATATCTTATTTTAGAAAAAAAAGATTAATACATCTCTTTCAATCAAAGGTTTCTGAAGATAGATAACATATATATTTTTTTTATATATTTTCATTTATTTCTTTTCTTGAATCTAGTGAGAAAGATTGAAAATGCTTAATTAATTGCTTTTTTGATCTTAATACATCTTGGTTGTGTCTTCTATTTTTTGAAAAATACTTTTTACTTTTATATTAAAGTTAGATAATATCAAATAAAGTAATCTCAAATGAATTATTTATGTTACAGAAAACTTATATTTCCCAAAATTGAGAAAGGGTATTTGCATTGAAAATTTTTCTTGACAAAAAATTTGTCATGCGAATTTGATTTTTTATTTATCGTTTCTATGCATTAACTCAACTTTTTGATTTGAAAGAGCCCAGAATTTACTTAATAGGGTATTGTGAACAGATAAATGTGATACAACTCATGTGATGCAAAAGATCGATTGATTTGACATAACTGATATATACGACATGTTAGATATATGTGACATATATAACATAGTTAACATATTAGACATAGCTGATATAGTTGATATATTAGATATAGTTGACATATTAGACGTAATTGATATATTAGATATATTAGTTATATCTTTCTATATAAGTTATTTTATATAAATAGGTAGCTTTTAGTTTATGTAAAAGGAGAGATAGATAGGAATTTAGCAAGATAGTTTTAGTAGTTTTAGAGGCAATTGGCCTACTGCGTTACCTTTTAGTTTTAGTATTTTGTTTCTTTTCTCTTTCTTATTTTTTTCTTTATTTTCTTTTACTTTTCTTCTTTTTCTTCATTTTTATTATTTTACTCGTGAATAAACACAATATTTACAAATATACACTACTGGCAACCTGTTAAATCGTAACTCGTTGTGATAATATAAATACTTGATAAATTGTCTGAGTTAAAGCTTGTAAACTGTTGAAAGATTATTACTCAATTAAAAAGAATAAACCACTTGAACATCCCGTCTAACAGTCGTTGTTCGTAAGAATTACACATTAATAGTATTAAAAGCGTATTCTGTTTTAAATCTGCTATTTTCTACGTTATTATTGTCTATAAAAAATTTTCACATAATTGATTAAAATATCTTGATCAATAAGGTTACATCCAGTTACACGTAATAATTATTATAATTGATTTAATCTTTCTACAATCAAAATAACTTGAATTTTTGAAAGCAAAGTAAATAATATTGATAATCACAAAAAATATTATTACAAAGGTTCAAAAAATTGACGGTGATACCTTTTTTAATTTTATTGTTGCAGATTTTGAAAGATAGGAATACCAAGTAGATCAGCTAAACAAATCAAAAGATTGAATAATAACATTCAAGAAGATTAGTGAATTTCATTCTCATTCACACTGTCATATTTGTCAATAATACAGAATACTTACTTATTCTTGTGCGTTTTTTTCTATTTTTTCACCTAAAAAATACATTCGTATTATTATA